TATAAACCATGATAGGGTTAACACTAAGCCAAAATAAAACACACATTAGAGTTTCACATACAGTAGTGTATGAAATCAACTGTTGTTTTAAAAGCATCAAAGTCTTGAAAGTTCTTTTTTGGTACTAAACCTTTTTCATATAAGTTCAAAAATAGTATCCTACAAATTTTCAGTGTCATTCAGTTTGGGAGGAGAAAATTCACCTTCAAGATGCCTGTAAGTAAATACTCTCAATTTTGAACACCTGGGTTTTAAATTTATAAACAATTATAACTATTTCAGAATGGAAAACACAGCTTTGAGCCTCCAATTCACAATTTTGTATTGTTTATTTCTGAAGAATATTTATTATAAAGTCCTGTATGGCATAGGGCCTGAGTATCTGAGAGACTAGTTGTCTCCAAAAAAATTTGTCTAGCCAGAATGTTTCTATAGAATGGGTGCACTCCAATCCCCCTTTTTTCAGAAACATGCCTTTTCTGTTGCAGCCTCCACCTTTTGGAACAGCATCCCCCACAGATAAAAGATAGCATCCTCTCTCCTGCGGTTCCAGAAAGCTTTGAAACTTTGGTTTTGAACCCAGGCCTGGGATTAAGTTTTATGATTTGTTCAATGGCCTCTGTTTTGTTTTGTTATTTTCTTATTTCATCCTGGGCTGTCTTTTTTTTAATGTTTTCTTTAGTTTTGTACATCACCCAGAGTCAGGAAGAGACAGTGTGAAATGAAGCATAGACACAAGTTATTTAGGCTTTATACCTGCATGATACAAACAGTTTTTATCATATTTGTGAGAGCAAATGCTCAAAGTGTTTTATTTGGTTTATAAATATTAATAACAAAATACAAAAGAAAGCATTTCAGTGTCATCTGTGAAAGAAAACAAGCCTGAATAATCTAGCGGGTCATTTTAGGGGAACTGCTTTTGTTTTAAATGCATGTCGTGTAAGGATGCGAACAGCGGGCTATATCCGTCTGCTTGAGAACTCTTTAAAAGAATAAACCTATTGGTCTCGGTTACAGAACAGGAAAAAGGTAATACCTAGAATATACATTGTTGGAGCTATTCAAAAGACAAAAAATAGAAATGAGTTAGTTGTCCTCCTATCCTTCTAATGCTGTCTGTTTTGTGCTTATCTTTCTTTGTACAGAGGGATCTTTTCCTATGAGCCAACGTAGTTTCCCACCCTCTTTCTGGAACAGCACTTACCAACCTTCTTCTGTGCCTGCCTCTTTGGGCAGCTCACTGGCAACTGCTGCCCACAGTGAACTGCCCTTTGCTACAGCGGACCCTTATTCTCCGGGCTCACTGCACAGCCACCTTCATCAGGGGCCTCCGGAGCCTTGGCACCCAGCTCACCATCATCACCACCACCACCACCACCCGTACATTGGTACACAGAGCTCTGCTTACCCTCGGCCCGCCACAGTGCATGAGGTCTACAGCCCACATTTTGACCCTCGCTATGGTTCGCTGCTGGTGCCTGCTGCTTCCGTGCGTCCCCACCGCCTCACTCCTGCCTCGGTGCCCACCCCAGTCAGCCCTCAGTGTGAGCTAGGCAAGAATGAGCCTGCCACATCATCATGGACAACGCCAGCTCCTTTTGCTGGTCCTGCAGGAGAGATGGCGCAGAGCTTAGGGCTGAATGTAGAGACAGGTAAGACCTGGCAGGCCCACTTTTCTTTCTTTTCCTCACTGCTGAAAATCCTCTATAGTGTAATTGTTTATTCCAATGGATGAGCAAGTAATTAGGTAAACAACTGCCCATGCATTTTCCTGCATGACCCCAGACAAAACTCTGGCTTATCACAGAAGCAGCTGGCCCTCCACATTTCTCTCTCTCTCTCTCCTTCTCAATGACATATGATGCCCCATTTTGAATTATACAAAAGTGTCTAACAGGATCTAATGTTTTTGTCAAACTGATGACACAAGCAACATCACAGCATTGCAAAAGTTCTGCTCCTTTCCTACATGCATACAATGTTGTGATGTGTGTACAAAATAAACAGAACTTGTATTATAACAGCATATTTATTTTGTCATTTGCCACCCTTGCCCATCTCTGCAGATACCTCTGATGTTATACCATTGCAGAAAGATGATTGGATTCATACCTTTTGCTAAAGCAAAGGCCATCACAAAAGCTGGTCGGAGCAAAATAATTTATTGTGATCAGATTTTTTTTGGGGGGGCGGGGAATGTATCCTGGAGACTTCAAGTGCAAATTCCAGAGGCTTAAAGCACCATTTCAATTCTTAAAAATCCTGATGAAAGCTCAAAATTGGAATTCTGCTTTCTGTCACATTTAGAATTGTAGCTTTTGGTCCTAAGTTGACAAAGATTCTGTACCCCAGCATTAAGCTATCATGTAGTTTATTTGGCTGTGATTCTGACAACACACCAAGAATGTGACCTGTTTTGTTACTCCAGCCACTGTAACTTGCTAACCATGCTTTGTGGTTTAGCATAATGTAGGAACCCAGGCACTGCAATTTTTTTCAATAATCCTTGATTAGACAAACCACAGCTTGCCTAACACAAGGTATGAACAAAGCTGTTGTGTTTCCTCAGACCTCTCTACATCATTGGTTCTCCATGGGGGGACAAGGAAACACTCAGCGTGATATCACAATTCATATTGCATCATGTTACCAGGAGGACAGGAGAAAGACACAGAACACCAACAGTATGAGGTCTTTTTTTTTTTGTTTGTTTCTTTGTTTCAGTAAGTGTCCTGAAACTCTACTGCAATGTTTCTCAACCTTGGCAGCTTTAAGATGCGTGAACTTCAACTCCTAGAATCTGAGAGTTGAAGTCCACACATCTTAAAGTTGTCAAGGTTGAGAAACACTGCTCTACTGAATAATATTGCCCATTACTGTCAACTTCACAATAGCCCTGCAAGTTAATTTGATTTTTTCCACATTTACTTTGGTTAAGGATCATTCGTGGCAACTATTTTTGATGCCAGAAATTATGTAAAAAGTCTGAGACTTGGCACTTTTCTATTTTTTATAAATAAAGAGATGTTTGAATACAGTATATGAGGCTGTAATGTTTAGGTGGTAGTAACTTGCCCAGTGGTTGTGCCATCAAGCACCTTAGATTTTGTAAGTTCTCACATGAAGTTAATCCATACGCCTTTATTCTTCATTTCACACTTCTTCTGGACATCAATTCTTGTGCTTTAAGTAACTTACCTATTTTTGCAAGCATATGAGGGCATTTGGCTCTTTCTGTCTTTATTTCATTTCTTTTCTCTTCCCTTTTTTAATTTCCAACTTCTCTCTTTCTTTTTCTTTCTTTTTCTCTCTGTTCTCAGGTTTGCAATCTCAGGATAAAAGCAAAGATCTCTACTGGTTTTAGATCTGCCTTCCCATCGTGACTTCTCCTCTAGTCAAACTTTTGTCTATGTAAGAGTGGGTATACAGAGCCAAAGTCAAGTCAATTTGTAACAGCTTCTGATCTTGGTTTTCAGCTCACCATTATTCCTACTGTGCTGGATCACTCCTGAGCTGAGCTGCTGATTATAACCCTCCCTTCCTACACACAAATTCCAGCTTCGTTCTTTGCCTCACTCTTCTGATATCAGCATCTCACATCGAGACAAGAAAAGGGGAAAGGCTAAAAGCTTCTTCAGTCTGACATTTCTTCTCCTAAAATGGCAAAATTGAACACAACAGCTTCACATTCAGAAGAACTGAGTAAAATGAATGTGGATGTGAAAAACATTGACTTTAGGAAACTGAAGGGTTTGTTAATATTAGTGAGGACATAAATCATACTTATCATTTGCCATTAAAAAAAAAGCTGTTTGGAAGCAGCATGGAAGATATTCAAGTATTGTGAATGAAGCAAAGTAATTCTAAACTCTTAAACACATTTGGGACATTTTTTTTTAAAAAAAGGATGGATTTTTCTGACTTCAGCGTGGTGATGAGTGGCAAGTGACTAGTGGGGCCACCTGCCTCCAGGCTTACACAAATGCAGCTGTTCAAGAGACAACTGTTCCAACTCCAAGAACTTGACAATCAAGGTGGCACTTCTCTGAGTTTGGCACAAAAATTGCATAGGATAATACTTATATACATAGTTGTATATATAAGTTTTTTATACAAAAACATTTATGATGATAGAAAATATCCTTTAAAAAACTCTTCCAGCTTTTAGGAGAAACAACTGGAGTGAGTGGGAGGGGAGGGCTAATGGGGTGGACAATAGACTTCATTTAATTGAATGTTCCCTTATGACTTTTTTAGTAACCAGGAGACGGTCTCTCCTCTCTCTCTCTTTCTCTCTCTCGTTTTGAAAAGGATATACAGTGTAAAATGTGTTTATTTGTAGGGAAGATAATTAAAAATGTCTCCTTTAACTTTTGATTGCATTTATTTTATGAAGTAGAGGGTGGAGATTTCAGATGTCCATTGGGAATCCCAATTGTCCCTATTTTTTAATTTTAAAAATTCCATTTACTTAACATTGATTTAGAAACCATCTGGATCAAATCAAATAGCAAATTAGTTCACTATCTTGTTTCCCTTCCTGACAAAACCTGCAGATCAACAGATAACAAGCCATAAATAGAATATAGAGATGCAATAACCTCTCCTCTTATCTTTAAGCAACTGCTCCCCCAAGATATGATGCTTCTGATTCTGTTGGTGACATATAAGCATCCTGTTTAGTAGCAACTGACTGTCTTGTCATTTCATTTCATTTATTCAATTTAGGCACTACCTGACTCCAAAGTGATTCTAGATGTACAATAAAACCAAACAAAATAGGAATATACATTATATTAAAAGTACAAAGGAATAAGAAGGGGAATTTAAAAAAAAACAACCCAAGAACAGATGGTGTTTTTACCTTAAAATGTATCCAACAAGGGGCATCAATAACCATACCCCAAGGCCTGGGAGAACATTCAAGTGTTCAAGGCTTTTTGGTAAGCTATCAGAATGGGGTCACCTGGGCAACACAGGAGATGGGCAGTTTCTCATATAATCTGGCTTTTTATGCCATGTAGGACTTTATAGGTCGCAATCAGTATCTTGAATGACAGTTGGAACTAAACTGGCAATCAGTGCAACTCAGGAATCAGCGGTGCCACATGGACATACCTAGTCATGTGCATTATTGTCCATGCCACTGCATTCTGTTGACGCTTGCAAATGGTTTTCAAGGGGAGATCTATGTGCAAGACATGAGTGACTTCTCTTCCAGATCCAGGAAAAGATGCAGCTGGTGCACCAGATGAATAAAATTCATTTTTTTTACGTTGCCTAAGATTATACTTCCATATCGTAGTGGTATCAATAATAATCATTTTTCTTACTTTGCATCTCCCACTGTGACTGTCATGAGGAAAAATGTCCATTTTTTCCATACTCTGCATCATTTTGAATCAAACATTATCATATTCTTTCTTACTATTCTTTCTAAACTTAAAACAAATAAGAGTAGACTTTCCTCAAAGATGAGATCATTTTATCATTTGATTGTTCTCCATGTTCCTTTCCTGCAATGCAGACAGAAAAGGAAGTGCTCCAAGTATTATTCTGTACAAAGTCTATCCTTCCCCTCTCCACATATATACCGTACTCTAATACAGGGGTGTCAAACTCGCAATGTCACGCGAGGTTGCTAGCAATGGGGTGGGCACGGTTTCGCTATGATGCATCCGGCCCATGGGCCGGCAGTTTGACACCTCTGCTCTAATACAACTGCTATATTCTAAGTATTTCCTAAGACCTTACCTAGTGATTCTTATGAGGCTACGTTCTTATGACGATATACAGTATGTGACATTTAAATATTATTTTATCTTGTTCCACTTGCTTCATTTAAGTTGTATTGTTGCATGCAGATGAGAATAAGCTCATGTACAGCATTTTTCCCAGAAATGGCTTTAAATACTCCATTCCAAATGAAGATGGCTTTCACCTGAAATTTTAGGGCTGCTGAACTTGAAAATGTGTGCTAGCCCCGTTTCCTATTTGTGGTAGGTGACACTGACCACAGGTGATTTATTGTCCTATGCCTGCATTGCAGTTTGTTAGTTGTATTTTCTTTTTTCATTAAGCTTGCTGGGATGATTCAGGCTGCATAGAGAGTAACTCTAACATAATTAGTGGTTTGAACTTTATTCATTGATCTGTACTATTGGTGTACAACTTTATTATCTTACTGTATTGAAATTCAATTTTCAGCAAGCCAGATAGCAAAGAAGATTCAAAGTTGCAGGTCAGGAAAAATTAAGGTCATAGGTTGCCTGTCCTTGGTGTAAAAGATACTCTTGTGACTTTTCCACTAACCTTTTCCCTCTATCCACCCTTGGGCTATTTTCTACTTGTTTTCTTTTTTCCCCCTCCAAATCTAGAGTAACAGAAGCAATTAAAGATAAACCCCAGCAGGTTATCATTTATAGTAAGCTTGGCCAAATGAGCTTTCTTCCATTTGCAACCTTTGTAATCTTTCCCATTTTCATCTCCTGTCCTTGCTGGAAACTAGAAATAGCTGAAGGAAACTCTATACTTCTTTGTATTTCAGATGTTTTTTCATCTAGTTGTAAACTCTGTACAACTGCTCTAAGCTCTGTATTTACAGAAGCCAAACATTGCTGTCTGTTGCTACATAATGCCTCATTCGAAGAAGGGCACTACAAGCAAAACAAGCCTTATTGCAAAAGAGTCAAAGTTTTTCCCCCAGGTGACAAAACTCTGGATCTTATCTGAACTGGCTATAATTCCCACTGGCTATAATTCAGCTCCAATTTATGAGATATGAAATACAGCCAAACAGCGAGATGTGCCAGAGATTCAGCTTAAGAATGGGTATCTGGAGCTTTGCAAGCATAGGAGGTGATAGGTACATGGCATAATTAATTTAACTAGATAAGTGTTTGCTGAATCTCTTTCTAAGCTAAGTGTTAATTATGAATTCCTTCCACTGTTATAAAAGCCCAATAGAGCAACCTCAGTAGAGAGAAATGTGTGCTGATTGAGTATAGATCACCAACTGTATGTTCAGCTTCTGTTGTACCGATAACAAAGGCACGGGGGAACTGAGGCCAATTACACAGATCATTCTACATAGCCTGAATACTTTTTTCTATCTCATATAAGAAGTGGGCATAATAGTTGAAAACATGCCTAGTTCAGCACAAATTGAAGACAGCAATGGACAGAGTAATGGATTTCTTATTTTACACTTTAAAAACCCAACAAATGCAGTCATGGAGCTGAAAAAGAGCACTGAAGTTCTTGCTAAGGTAATTCTTAAAATATCAAAACATATTTTGAATGTACTGCTAAAATATGTACAGACAGGTATCTTCAGGGGAAAATACTTTAAATATTGCATTCAGAACAAAGAATTGTAGTAATATACACATCCTGCATTTCAAATGTTCAAAATACTCCATATTTACAAATCTGGGGGGGAAGGCCAACATTATCTTTGTACTGTGGAAGGGAGGAAAAAGACTGCACAGCAATTTCATACATTGAAAGTAATATTTGGTGCAATTCGAAATCAATGTACACAATAGCACAAGTTCTACAGCTGGGAGAAAATGAGACAGCAATTTTCAAGCTCACCATAACATCAACTTAAAAAAAAACACTGGCAGATATGTTAACCAACAAAAAAAAAAAAGCAGAGAAATAGAGAAACAACCTTTTGGGAAGTAAATTGTAATAAGATTGTTCTCAAGAAGCTTCTTTAGCACAGACTAGGAAAAGAATACACAGATGACAGTTTAAGGATACAGAGAAATCCTGCTACTACAGTATAAACTCTTTAAGCACTTACATAGATACACAGATTTTCAGCTGCTTTCTCTATGTAACTTTGCATGGACATTTGGCAAAGCTGGTTCCTAGAAATCCCAGGAACAGCTTATGTTGGCTTCAAAAATCCAGATGGGCAGCAAAGAAACATAAAAAACCTCAACTCTTTGCTGGTATTTAGTGAACCACTAAGATAAATGCAACCAGCTAGGAAATGTCTAGCCTTAACAAGCTCAGCCTCCTATTAGATGAAAGCATAACATCATCATCATGATTGAAAATGTGCCACTTATTCAGAGCTTTCAAATGTCCCAAACCATTTGTAATCGTATAATTCTTTTAACACCGTTGACCCATCAGATCAGTAGGGTCTATACAAAACAGATTGCTTCACGATTTGCAGGAGCCAGGTTCAGCAGAATAGTGAAATGACTTACGTGCCTCTTCATTGGACATTACAACTAGAAGGTATGACTTTGTAGCTCATCAGCCAATGACTGAAATAAGATATCACCAGTGAAACTTTTCACTTCATACATGCTAACTCACAGGAAGGCAGACTGCACTTTCAGCTGCAGCCTGCTGAGAAGCGCAG